CCGTTTGCTCCCGAGGCTTCTTCCCAATTTTTCCATGAATGTGCCAGAGCCCTCGGGTGACTAAAGCACTGAAAGGACAGAAACCCCCGGAGCACCACTCTGGGCACCCCAGAACACCCTGGAGCACCCCACAGCCAGCAGCAGCGTTGCACCACTCCCAGCCCGGGGCCCTTCCGCTTGCACAACACCCGCCAGGTCCTGCCACTGCCACTGCCACTGCCGTGGTCCTGCCACTGTCACCACCATGGTTCTGTCACCACCACTGTGACCTGCCAGGTCCTGCCACCGTCACCACCTCAGTCATGGTCCTGTCACCATCACTGCCACCACAGGTCAGTCTGGACAGGGACCTCTGGGGTGTCCCCTCCTGTGGGTCCCCAGCCTTCCCAGAGGGACCCACCCTGGGTGAGCCCCAGAGTGCCCCTTCCCACCTCACTGCCCAGATCCCAACTGTCCCCATTCTCCCACTCCAGGAATCCCACACAGGGTGGCCCTGTCCCCACTCAGTCGTGTTCCTGTCCCAGACCATAAAGACCCTTTTTTTTGGCTTCTTGTGTTGCCAGGGGACATATTCCCCTCTTCAGAGGGTGTCCCTTCTACACCACCCCGTGATGCATCTGCTGGGTCTGGGTAACCCTCCCAAAACTCCCAAAGCTGCTGTGACCAGGAGATTTTGGTCCCTGTGGCACAGAGGGACCCCACATCGCCACGTCCCCCGTCTTCCCCTGCAGGTCCCTTCTCCACTCGGGGAGGGACATCGCAGGTTTGGGTTGTCACACGTGAGCCCCCCCTCTCTGTAGGTAACACCTCAAAGTGGATGGGTCACCTCCTATGGGGTCACCCAGCCGAGCTGCACCCCATGGCTTTGGGGATCCCCAAAAACACTGACCTCCTGTGCCCCCTTCAAAAGATGCTTTGGGGCTCAGCGGTGACGGGGGTGGGTGCAGTGGGGGTCTCCTGTGCTCTCCCCCTTCCCAGGGGGACACCGTGGGGGCCATGGAGACCATGGTGGGGGGCAGTGGGGCCATGCAAGGTGCCCCCCACCCCTTGGTTTGAAGGACCCCCACTCCCATTAGGGGTCTCCCTTCGATTTCTGACTCCACATCTGGCTTCAACACAAAGCCAGGACCATTTTGCCATAGAGCATCAGGACCAAACCCCCCCAGCCTCAAAAATGCCAGCAAAAATCCTCCAACAAAACCCTTATCTGGGGTTTTTTTTGCACCAAACCACCCTGCGCTTGACCCACAAAGTGCCTAAGATTCGGGGTACAGCAGCACCCCATTTCCCCATAAGACATTAAACCACTTCCCAGCTCTTTGGAGCCTACAAATGTGCCGTTATCCCCGCAAATCTCAAGCTGAACGCCGCAGGAGTGAATCAGCGTTGAATTCCTCCCTATTTTGGGGTCCGGCGCACAGGATCCCCCTCCCAACGCGTTGCGTCGGCGGCTGCCGGCCCCCCCCTCGCCGCTGACT